TACCGGGTTCGAATACTTTGGGTACGTGGGAAGTGATTAGTATCACAATGGGTTTGTCTCGCTTGATAGAGACTTAGATGTAGTGTCGTATGCTATGTGTTTAATTGATAACATGCTTATGTGACTATGTAGGTATGTGATTTAGTTTCTAGGATGTTGATTGGATCCTTGGGTTTCTGGGAGTTTTGTTGGAAAGGCACTTGATCAATGCTGTTTCTAATCGAAACTCTAGTAATGCCTCGGGACTATCATTATCCGGAAATGAAATTTGTAAGTGCTTATGTGTTTATGTGCTTACGTGGAATGAATTACAATTGTCCATGCAATAGGACGCGAGTGTTATAGCTTCGGCACATTTGTGAATGTGCTAATAGTCTTGGTTACCTTTATTAGGATGTCAGGACGAGGAAGAGGTGCTAGGCGTGGTAGGCCTGCGAGGCAGGAAGTACCTTTACCGGAGGAAGTTTCGGCAGTGCAGGAGGGAGTTGGCCAGGCCAATGTGGCCGAGCCAGCGGGTCAGTAGGCTATGAGTGCCTTGGCCCGAGATGCTTGGCATCGAGGACGGGGCACTGAAAGTGACCTTGGCATCCTTCCAGCTGAAGGGAGATGCAGGTCAATGGTGGAAGTACGAGAAGGCTCGTGTTAGTGGTACATGGGAGGCGTTTGTGAATGCTTTCCAGGAGAGGTTCTTATCTGCAGTTGCTAGGGAGAAGCTGAGGGATCAGTTTAGCCGGCTTAATCAGCAGGGTATGTCTGTGGCAGATTTTGAGGCCACTTTTACTAGTTTGTCCAGGTTTGCACCAGAGTTGGTGGCGTCCGAAGAACGCCGTTGCTATGAGTTTTAGCGAAAGTTGAGGCGGGCCTCAAGTTGAGGGTTGGTGGGTCTTACATCCGAGAGTATAGACATTTAGTGGATGCTGCAGCTCATATGGAGCTTATGATGTAGGAGGAGGACGAGGAGAAACATAGAGGCTCCAAGAGGGGCCAGGATGGTCAGGGTGATGGCAGGAGACAGAGGGGTTATAACCCTCAGCAGTCTCAGGGTGGAGTCGCTAGATCAACCTTTCCGGTGCCGAGTGCAGGCTCGGGGAGAGGCAATCAGGGAGGTTTGACTTGCTACACTTGTGGCCAGCTGGGTCACAAGTCTTCGGTTTGCCCGCAGAAGGGTGGAGGTCAGAGAGCTGCTTTTTCTTCAACTAGACCCCAGAGTCAGGGTTTGGGCAGGGGGCAGCCCTTGTCTTGCTATCAGTGTGGGCAGCCTGGGCACCTGAAGAGGTATTGCCCGCAGTTGGGTGCAACTTCAGGAGCGTCCGGTTCTAGACAGACGCAGAGTTACCAGCCAGCTCAGTCTGTGCAGGCCTCGAGGGCCAATCCGGGAGCTTCGTCATCCCAGTCAGTGCAGCAGTCGTATGCTCCTAGAGGTGAGCAGGTGGATCAGGGGCCTACAGGGCGCGTATATGCTATTACCGCGTAGGACCTAGTACCGGCTCCATCAGTAGTGAGAGGTACCTTTTTGTTTTGCAACTTGGTTGCTAGTGTGTTGATTGATACAAGTGCATCTCATTCTTTTGTATCTGCTGCATTTGCATCTGTTTTGGAATTGGAGTTAGCACAGTTAGCATCTCCTATTTGTGTAGTGTCACCTCTTGGGGGTGAGTTGATTCTAAAACAGGGTTGTAGAGGTTGTGATATAGAGGTCGCCGATTATAGGCTTCCGTTCCCTTTTGTAGTTATGCCTATGAAGGGTTTTGACGTTATTTTGGGTATGGACTGGCTATCGTCTTACCGAGCTGTTATTGATTGCTACCGCCAGAGGGTCATGTTATGTATCTTGAGCGGGGAGTGGTTCTATTTCTTGGGAGACCGGGTTGGTAGTGTTTTGCCACCGGGGTATGATTCGCGAGGGCGAAGTGAGCTTAGTGGTCTACTTGCCAGCTAAAATTTATATTTAACCCTACCTTCAGAAGGGGAAAATGAACTTTTTGTTTAAATTGTAGAAGCCTATAGTAAATACATTTTTTTATTAACTATGCTTTGCGTTTACACCTTTTAACCCACAGTTTCCATCATGATGCCAATGTCAATAACATAGTTCCAGCCATGATCCAATAATCTAACATTCATTCAAATTGAAAGCAAACAATCACAACACCATCACTTATTCAACCAAATCCAATAAGGAGCAATCAAAATCTCTCAAAAAACTCAAGAAGTTTACTGTGTGGCAAACCTAAATGGCGAAAAAACTGTCCTATGGGATGGAAATCACCAATTCCAATATCAAAACCCCGATATAATTTTATAATTACTTATTGGACTTCAAATTGTTTACAAGGGCCATAATTAAAGGAAATTTACAACACATCCTTGCCCTAGTTTATCTAACCCAAATTGAAGCCCGCCCACGAGTTTCAAAAAGCCTTGGATTTCCATTCCTAAAGAAGGCCCCTTGGGACAAAGTCCAAGCTCTTGTTTGATGTTCCAACAATCCACCATGGAAAGCCCAATCTTCCATCCCCAAATGATTTCGCTTGTTTGCTCAAACGCAGGCACGTGTAGTGGTCCGTAAGGGATATGAAAAGGAGTAGTGTGGGATGGTTTTTTGTGAAAGAACTCAATTTGAGGAAGGGAAAATTAATTGTCAAAAAAGTTCATTCATATAAAAAAAAACGCCTAAAATAGTTAACACATTAATGTGGTGGGTTTGGGAAGGGGAAAATTGGATTACCACCACCCTAAACCTTTAGTTATTAAAATTAGTAAAAACAAAAGTTGGGTATGTCCGCGAAGACTTTAAAACCGTTAACTCCCCTCAAGGTTATTAGGGGCCTAGGGTTTTTACAATTGGTGAATCAAAACCATAATTATTAACTTATAAAATTATGGGAAAGACAATATGAGGAACTCCCATCAAACTGGAGTTCTTGATGAATCCAGGCAGTAGACTATTTCTTAGAGAGGAGCAAAAAGGCATTCTTAAGCTGCTATAATGTCATAAAGTGAATAAAAAAGAAAAGAAGAATTCCTTTTGTTCAAGACCAAATATGGGGTTCTATTAAAATGCCTCAGTTTTTGCAACCTACGGACACAACTCAAGCCCCATTGTCAAGGCACTCGTCGAGATTTAAAGCCCCTGGGCAACTTAGGTTGCTCGCAGCCCCCAAGCGCTATGTAAAAGCACTTAGTTTGAATTTAGTGGGAGTTTTGTTCCTTAATATTTTAGTCTTTATATTTTTTCTCTTTTGTCATTATTGGTTCTGTTGAATAGTTTTTGTAAATTGGTAATACTATTGT